TTTTTTTTTTTCAGTGGCCCGATGGACCACAGATCAGATATTAAACTGATCAGAACAGATACTACACTTGATCTTAGCCAAAAGGCCGGGAATTTTTTTTTTTTGTTTTTTACTTTTTTGAAGTTTATTCTTTTTTGTGTGTGACTTGTTGTCCTGCTGTGTTTCTGCAGGTTTCATTCACAGGAAGGGGGGAGACTCAGTCAATGAAACAGCTGTCTGGCGGGCAGAAAACAGTTGTCGCACTGGCGCTTATCTTTGCTATTCAGCGGTGCGATCCAGCACCTTTCTACCTATTTGATGAGATTGATGCCGCACTGGATCCGCAGTACCGCACGGCAGTTGGCAGTATCCTTTCAAATGAATGATGATGAGATGTTCTGTGTGCTTCTGTTTTTTTTTTGTGTATTTGATGGAATTGTGTGTGCTTTCCACTCACCATAAGGGGGGACCTCATGGCAGGGCCTACTCCGTTAACGTCCGCCCCTGCCGCCGTAAGGTGATACAGCTTTAGACTGTTTTTTATGTTAATATGCGGGTCTATTTTAATTATTAAATGTATTTTAAAATTTTAAGTGTTTTAAGTTTTTAACTTTTAACTGTATTTCCAGAGTTCCCCTGCATTTTTTATCTGCGTTTAAGAAATTCTAAGAATCTAAGTAGATTCTCGATTTCCAACAGTATTTTAACTCTATTAAATTGATCAATTCTATTTTAATTTTTAACTGTCTTCCACTGTCGTAAACTGTGTTTTAAAATTTTAACTCCGTTTTATAAACTTTCATTAAGTATTAACAAGCGGATGCCCGCCGCGGCTACGCCGGTGGCGCCCACCTGCTCCCCCTCCCCTCCCGCCACCTTCTCTTTCTCGTCTTCCCCATTCTCTGCCTCTTCTCCGTCCTTCTCGTCTGCTTCGTTCTCCTCCTGGCCCTTCTCTGCCAGGTTGCACCATGTGGGGCAGGCCATACTATGTGGACTTGATGGTACTAACACCGACAGGGCGAACCCCCCCCCCAAAAAAAAAAAAACAACATCAGTCACAATTCGACCCTCCCCACGGGCAAGTGGTACTATGTACTGCGCGGTATTATGTGGCCTGGGTACCTTGGGTGGGGCACACCATCTGGACTGGGCGATGCTATGTGGGATGTGGCTAGGGCAGTACTTTGTGGGTGGGTTGATACTATGTGCACTGGGTGGTACTATGCAGGCCCGGGTCGTACTTTCATACTATGTGCAGTGTGGGACAGTTTGTGGACTGGTGGGGACCACGTGGGCTTGCGAGTACAGTGCGGTATAGGCTGGCAATGGTATGTGGGCCGGGTGGTTGAGTGTATTTTGAAACTTTTGAAAGTCTTAATTTCTCTTAAATGAAGTTAAATCTATTATAGACTATTTTGTTGAAGTGTTTGAAGTTTGAACTGTAGTTTAACAGTATTTGAAGACTATTTAATATTTATTTTGGAGTGTATTTTTACTATTTTTAATAGTATTTTACTATTTTCAAATTTTCACTATATGGTAGCTGTATTTTTGAAACTTTTTAAAGTCTTAATTTCGCTTAAATCTATTATATTATAGACTTTTTTCAAGTTTTTTGTTCTAGTATTTTTAACTGTAGTGTAACAGTATTTGAACTGTATTTTACTATTTTCAAATTTTCACTGTATGTTAACTTAGCTGTATTTCAAATTTTCAATTTTGAATTTTCAATTTTCAACTGTATTTTCACAATTTTAAAAGTACTTTACTGTCTTTCGATGGTAAGTGTGAACGGTGGTTCGTCTGTGTTTCAACTATATTTTTCAACTATATTTTTCAACTATATTTTTCAACTATATGTGTTTCAACTATATTTTTCAACTATATGTGTTTCAACAGTATTTCAACAGTATTTCAGCTGTATTTAATTTAAACTTGTATTTTGAAAGTATTAGTGCTGCAAGGCCCGTTTCAGTTCATGAAAAGTGAGTGAAGGTAATCGTATCTGCATGTGCTGTTAGCCGCGTCACTGATGC